TGATTGGTGTGTTGAGAGCAGCAGTTTCCCTTTCCTTCCTCCTCTGCATGCACTTCACTGTTGTGAAATTAGAATCATGGAATGGTTGAAAGTTGGAAAGGACCTTCAAAATCATCCAATTCCAACCCCCTGCATGGGCAGGGACACCTCCCACCAGACCAGGCTGCTCCAAGCCCCATCCAACCTGCCCTTCAACACCCCCAGGGATGGGGCAGCCACAGCTTCCCTGGGCAACCTGGGCCAGGCTCTCACCACCCTCACACTCCACAATTCCCTCCTCATGTCTCACCTCAATCTCCTCTCCTCCAGTTTTCATCCCTTCCCCCTTGTCCTCTCCCTCCCTGCCCTTGTCCCAAGCCCCTCCCCAGCTTTCCTGGAGCCCCTTCAGGCCCTGGAAGCTGCTCTAAGGTCTCCCTGGAGCCTTCTCTTTTCCAGGCTGAACACCCCAACTCTCCCAGCCTGTCTCCAGGGCAGAGCTGCTCCAGCCCTTGGATCATCTTCATGGCCCTGAATTGCTGAAGAAGGAGCTGTAATCAGACAACAGAGCTGCTTCAGGTGATGCTCTACTTTCAGTACAATTACTTGACAAAAAGTTTACACTTCAAGCTGCAAAACTTATTTTCATAAACATTACAGGGTCCAATACGAAAAGAGTCAACTGATTAAAACAAAAAATATCTTCTTATTCCACAGATTTGCTACCTTTCTTATTTCATGAAGGTAATTGTTCTTTCAGATACAACAAAACAAAACAAAAAAAGACAAAAAATATGCCTAAAACCCTTTTGCAGAATAACCAAAGAAGGAATTTAAGCACTCCCTTACACAAAAAGCACTTAAATCACACAGATTATACAAGATCAGGCCATGTACCACAGAGAGCTCTTATTCTTCCTGTGGCATGCAAAACATGAGTTGTCATGTAGCTAAACCAAAAACCTCCTTTCAGCTGATTCATACTTATAAAATCACAATGCACAGACACTTCTAGCCAACACATGCCTCAACTCTCTCATAAAAATCCTTTTATGTTTTTTTTTTAAACTTCTACTTACTTCACTACCTCCAGCTACTGAAGGAGGGAGCGGAGTTTCAAAGTTTCCACAAACAAATCTAACCATCTTTTCTCATTAGGTAGCAGAAAATTTATGAGATTTTACACTGCCAAACATTCCACACATTTGTGTTATCTTGGCAAGGGAAAAGGACTTCTGACATTCCAAAGGAATCTCCTACAGCAAACATACTCAGGGACACAGACTTTTTGGAAGCCTTGTTTTACTTAACCTCGCCTTAAACAAAGCCAAGGACCAAGGTTAGAAACCTATTTTTCTGCCTAACAGTAAATAGTGCAAAGCTGCCCCAGAAGAGCTGCCCACATGGCAAAGGAAGGCAGGGGCAGCAGGGAGGCAGAAAAGAAGAACATAAATACAGTGAGGCAGAGCCTTGCTCAAGAGAGCTGACAAAAGGTTACAAAAACCTATTGTTTAACCTGTAAGGCTTCTAAAACACTGCCCAACCTCAGAAACTGAGCCTGCCAAAATATTTGTACCCCCTAGCACTTTGTAATATGTATTGCATCAACAGGCAAAAGGCCTGAGAATGATTTGTGCAAACTAAATTGTTCGAAGGAGCTTTCAGTAACTCATTTAACACTGAAGTCTGAATGATTTTAGCCTGTACCCATAAATAAAAGTATGAACACAAAGGCCAACTAATGCTCCCACTGGTGTCCCACAGTGTACTGGCATCATGTCAAGGTCTCCCAGAAGGAGCAGCCTCCAGCAGTTTTACTAACAACCAGCACACACAGGCACAGGATGTGGCAACTGAAATGGTCACCCCTTCCAGACCCAGCATTCACATAGGGCAAAACTGCAGCAACTCAGGGGACTCTTAAGAAAAGCTAGAAGAAAAATGCTGCTGGTTTGTGGCTCTAACTTCTCCCATTTAAATAATCTGTAACAGCCCAGTCTAATTTTTTCCCCATAGAAAAAAAAAAAATAGAGTTATTTAAAAACAAAGACCCTGATACAGAAAAAGCAGATTAAGTCCAGAATTAAGATCACAATTTACAGAGAAGATGGTTAGAGCTGGTTCCTTATCCTTGGAAGAGGGGAAGTTCTTGGTGTTGGGGGTGGAGAGAAAAGCTGGAAAGAACCAGGAATTGACAGAAGAGCCTCCAAGGACCTAACTCAAGTCACTGGTTCACATGAAACCTTCAGTTGTAGTCACCTTTGTCTGCAAGCCACAGAAATTATCCTTGGGCTGGAGCAGCTCTGCTCTGGAGTCAGGCTGGGAGAGTTGGGGTGTTCAGCCTGGAGAAGAGAAGGCTCCAGGGAGACCTTAGAGCACCTTCCAGTGCCTAGAGTTGAACAGGACACATTGCTTGCCCAGGAACCACTGCCTAGATGATGTTTTCACTGATCTAAGCCTTCTTCCAGGAAAAGCTCGTCCCAATAGTGGTCCCAATAGTGGCTTCATAAAACATCATGTATTTCTTGAGCACCCTGTCAAGTGTCTCCAGGTTTCAGAACTATTCAGATATTTGGAACACACAGAACCACGTGCACTACTGCTTGTTTCATTTGCTCAGCTTACACAGAATATGGGGGTTGGGGTCTTTTTTGGTGTCAGGGAGTAGCGGTTGCAGGAGGGACTTCAAATGTCAAAAGAATTACTCATGAAATTTTAATATGGCCTCTTTCCAGGGTGATATTTATTTATTTAATCAGTAAACATTACCCTCTTTTGTTACCTATCTAAGCCTTTAAACACAAGATTAACTATTAACATATCACTTACAGGTCTGCTTCTCTTTATGGAAAATGAACTTGCTTCTGCTTGTTTCTGCATGACAAAAAGTTCACATTTCTTCTTCAGCTGGTTCAGCTTTACCTTTTTCACATTTCTAATATTTAACCATACTGAAATGTCACTGAGGCAAACAGTGATTTGCTCCATTATCTCAGGTTCAAGAGTTTTACAGGAGTGTCTGGAGAAGAGTAAAAAAGCATTCAAGGAAGAACTACAGGAAGAACCACTGAGAGGATTCAAGCAACTTAGACAGGAGCTGTGAAATTTCCCAGGCTGCCCTGAGATTTGCACAAAGCTTCATCAATTAACAAAAGTTTTTAAAAAAATAAAAACAAAACACCCCAAACACACACCCAATACAAAACTGGACTGAAATGGTGCTGCACCAGCCGAGAAAAAAAAGAATTTGACACTCTCTACTTCCTCACAAAGCTGTGTCCAGGTATGACAAGACCAGGTCCATATCACAGCACTATCATGACAAGAGGGAACTCTGCTTTGGACTATCCCACACCTCATCTCCATAGCAGTACTACATCTCCAGGTAGTAGGAAGGACAAAAATCAAGGAAACAAATACCAACAACAGAACTTCAATGCTCTCAAAAACGACTTCATAGGAACAGGAATATAACCCAGTACTGCTGTTAAAAGAGCATTTCTTACTTCCCCCAAGGCAGAAATATTAGCAAAAAGATCAGTGGGTGAATTCTGTGTAAAGTGACTGCCAGCACTGCAGCCACCTCTCAAACCCATGAGTGACCCTGACCTTACAGTGACAAACACTTTAAAAAGAGAGTAAGTGTCCAGTTCCAGAAGGACAAGAACTCCTCGGGAGAGCCCAGCACAGGGCACTGAGATGCTGCAGGGGCTGGAGCATCTGCCTGTGAGGAAAGGCTGGGAGAGCTGGGGCTGTTCAGCTGGAGAAAAGGAGGCTGAGGGGGGATCTGCTCAGTGCTGCTCAATATCTGCAGGGGGTGTCAGGAGGATGGGCCAGACTGTGCTCAGGGGTGTCCAGGGACAGGACAAGGGGCAATGGGCACAAACTGGAGCCCAGGAGGTTGAAGCTGGAGATGAGGAACCCCTTCTTGCCTGTGAGGGTCCCAGAGCCCTGGGCCAGGCTGCCCAGGGAGGCTGTGGAGTCTCCATCCCTGCAGACATTCCAGCCCCACCTGGCTGTGTTCCTGTGGGATCTGCTCTAGGGGATCCTGCTCTGGCAGGGGTTGGACTGGGTGATCTCCAGAGCTCCCTGCCAACCCCACCACTCTGTGGTTCATCTGCTAGGTCTTTTCATTACTGTGGGCACCACCAAAAACACAATACAGGGGTTTTTCAGTTCTGAACTCCATGGTGGTTTCCAGGCCTCACACTGCACTGCACACCTGAATGCTGCATTTCAGTGCAACACTACGAGATTATAACAAGATTTAGGCACACCTTGCTCACACTCCAACAGCCTTCAGCACTGTGACAGCATTAAAACACAGTAAACATTTAATCAAGCAAGTGCACTTTTTACTCACTATCCAGCACTTTGACAGTAATGACCATTTTTTAAAGATCAAATTCTACCTTCATACACAAAGACCTATTTTTTACCAACTGAGGGAATGATGGGCACTACTGTGCTCAAGTGTGCAATTTCTGAATCCATTTTTTTCTCCTGAAACACATGTAATAAAAATGCAATTAAAGCTGTTCTTTATTTTGCTATGAAATGTCTCTGTACTCAGTAAAACAAATAAGGTGTGAGGAGAACAAACTGTTCTCGGGTACTAAAGAAGAGTAAGCAACCTTTAGACCAAAATAAAATACATTCTTGGCAACCAGGCTTGTAATGGCAGTTGTAATCTTTCAGAATCTTTCTCCTCCAAGTCATTTTAAAAACATCTCTTTAAAAGCATCATTAAAACGTTCACATGTATTTCCTTCTCAACATGTAAAAGCAGACAAAACAAAATTATACTAGAAAGTGGCATTCCAAGAACACCTCTTTCCACTAAAAAACATAAAAATTAATTATTTAGAAAACAACTAAAGATAAGTTCATGTTTAAATAACTTCCAATGCTTGCCTATTTGAAAGAAAAATTTTAGATAATATTTATATTACGTAATTCTGAGCAAAAAAAATACCTGTTGAATAATAATATCAGTAAAAATACTTTCATTTCTGTACACTTACTGCAATCTCTCTACAGGCCGACATGGATATCCCTGTACCTTCAATTTGCTTCAGTGCATATTCCTTTTCATCTTTGCTGTACATAAAAAGAAAAGAGAGAGGAAGAGTTTTAGTGCCTGCTTATATTACACCAATCAATACAAGTATAATGATTTATTTAATTTGGTCTGGAACAAGAAGCTGAAAAGTCAACCTAGTTTTATGCATAAGTTACACTTAGATACTAAAAGCAAGTTTCCTTTTAACACAGATGTGAAAGATTCCAAACAAAAACTCTCACGTACAGCAATTTTGTTAACCTATATCCATTTCTCTCTGAAAACACACAGGTAACTGCAAATATACCTGCAGAGAATTCTGAAGGACACTTCTCCTGAAACTCCTGGATACTGTCTCCTACCATGACACAGCTGCACAGTTGTATCCCATGGCTAAGAAACTCTCCTAGAAATACCTAGAAACTGCAAGGTTCTTACTTCACTTTATGAGCCACTGTCAATTCACATTTACTTCTAAAATACTGTTATTTTAAGCTAAATTTATAGCAAGCACTGGCTACTGACACACCCCTACCCAGCACATGAATCTGTGTTCTCTAAGGCACAAAGCCAGAGAACATGAAAATGTTCAGCCCAAACAGTGTGACTCTTTTAAATAATCACAGTTTGAGGTGATTTAGGGGGAAGACCAACAGAACAAGAAAATTAAGTAGTTGCTCAAAGCCCTCATGATACAATCACATTCTGGGCTGTGTCACCAGCAGTGTGGGCAGCAGGGCCAGGGAGGAGATTGTCCCCTCTGCTCTGCTGAGACCCCACCTGGAGAAGAGTCCAGTTCTGGAGCCCCCAGCACAGGAAGAACATGGAGCTGTTGGAGAGAGCCCAGAGGAAGACCACAAAAATTATCCAAGTCCAACTGTCAACACAAAATAAACCCCACAGCCTCAGTCCCCAGAGCATGTCCTGAAGTATTAAAATCTACAAGGCTTCTGAACACGTCCAGGGATGGTGACTCCATCACTACCCTTGGCAGGTTGTTCCAGTGCCCAACCACTACTCCAGTATAGAAATTCTTCCTGATCTCCAATCTAAACCTCCCCTGGCACAACTTGAGGCCATTTCCTCTGGTCCTGTCAATACTTACTTGGGAGCAGAGCCCAACTCCCACCTCCCTGCACCTTCCAGGAGCTGCAGAGGGCAATGAGGTCTCCCCTCAGCCTCCTCTTCTCCAGACCAAACCCCCCCAGCTCCCCCAGCCTCTCCTCACAGGACTTGCTCTCCAGCCCCTTCCCCAGCTCGGTGTCTCCTCTGGACCTGCCCCAGCCCCTCCATGTCCTTCCTGCAGGGAGGGGCCCAGAGCTGCCCCCAGTGCTGGAGCTGCAGCCCCACCAGGGCCAGGACAGGGCACCAGCACCTCCCTGCTCCTGCTGGACACACCATTCCTGACCCAGGATGGGGTGGGTGTCCTTGGCCACACGTTGGCTCAGACCTTGGCAGGCTGAAGGTCACTGCACAGAGCAGACAGGAGGTTTGGCACCTGCTGCCTGCAGCAGCACTGCCTAACCCCACTGTCAGCCACTCTACCTAGGACTTGAAGGTACAAACAAGAATCAATGAAAGGTATTTTAAAAGAAATAAACAACCCAACAACTTAAGATATTAGAGCACGGGGGAAAAAAGCATTTTACTGAGCCGCACACAGTACCCTTAGAGGACACTGTGTTTTGTGAATATTGAGCAAAAATGGGGATAATCAAATCCTTAACCTAAAATAAACGGGTATTCAAGGATAAAAAACTCCAAAGATACCATATTGTCAATCTCACAAAATGCTCCTTTACCAACAGCTTCAGAGTAATAAACACAGCCTCCTTTAAATACATAAATATCATTTACTTGCTTTGGCAGAAATCTAAGCCTACATGAATCCTTTTCCAATATTAACTGTTCTTATTAAGCAAACATAAGAGCTGCTTAAAGCACTTCCCAAAAGGTCTCCACCAACTTGCACTTTAACTAGTAATATTTCCCACTTACTAGTAATCTCAAGATAATTTGATAAAGAAATACATTTTTAACTTCCATACCAAGTCAGCCAATGCAATCTGATAAAATAAACGATTCTACTTACTCAATAAAATGGCACAAAAAGGGAAAGAAAAAAAAAAGGTACTTTATTAGCTATTTCCCCACTTGTAAGAACTCAATAAATAACCTCTAATGGTGTGTGTGATAGGTAAGTATACTGTTCAACTCCCTAAAGATCTATGCTCTTAATAAACACTTGAAGCAAGGGGAAGTATTTCTACTTCATGTTGACAATACAGAAAAACTCTAGTGAACCTTGAACATGTTTCAAGAAGTTGTACAGAATTCTACAGCAGGGAAGTTTTCAGAAATCCTTTCCTGACAGGTGCTACGTGAGCACGTTTCTCACTAGAGAACAGAGCAAGCGCTGATTAAGTATAAAAACCAAACCCCAACCTTTCATCCAGCCAGCTCAGGCTAAAGGTGGCTCACTGGATCTGAGCAAAAAACCTAGCAAAACAGAACTGAAAGGAAACTCTATTCCTTAAGAAGCTGCAACTTAACCATTTTTATTCAAGCTTTTCAAAATTGATGCAGAAGAATTTGCGTGACAGAACAGACACCACGTAACACCATGACTAGGCTTCTTCTCCATGCTTCAAGTTCCCTCATCCAGAACTAGGGGTAAAGACTAAAATCCTCACTGTTTCTAGTTCCAGAAATATTACGGTTCATGGTATTTTAAGAGGGATTAACTTTTTACCAAAATGACACTGCTGAAATGAGACTCCCTGGCTCTGTATGTCAGGCTGCCATAGGGTCCTCACACCTACCAGCAATAAGTGAGAACATCTCTCCTTCACTAAAATCTGTACCAGTAAAAGGCTGCAACTTAGTCTTTGAGGTTAAGCTTTTCTCCCTTGATAATAAATGCCCATTGATGTTAACATTTTAACTTGTACAGTGCGAAGAAAAATTCTGTCCTCTTTCTCCAAAAGATTTTACCCAGCTGGTTTATGACCAATTACAGTATTTGATGCAGAAAATGAAAATAGGATTACTCCTTCTTCTGGGAAACACTTTCAGCTTCCATTTTTAAAATGCTTTGGAAAGAACAAAAGTACCAAATTCATGTTTGAAGGGTGCAGTTCAGATGGCTGAGAATAATTTAAACATTTCAAAAGACTTAAGCAGTCTAAAATATTGGGAAAACTCTGAAGTATAATTACATCACGTGAGAAAATACCCTACAAACAAGCCAATGGAAAACTAGAAACAACTTGCCCAAGCCCATAATAAAAACAGAAGGATTTGAAAACACCACATGGTTCAAACTACTGTTTTATTCTTATCAAAAAATTTATGCTTTTAATGATGGGCCCTCTTGAATTCACAGGTAATTTAACAGACATCCCAGCTTCAGAAGTGATTACCCACATCAAGGATGTGGCTTGAAAAACTACAGTCACAATGAAGCTACAACTGTGACTACCACATCAGTTAATACAGATATTCACATTAGAGTCTATACTAATAATACCTTTCTTAAGTGCACAATAAGTCATAATTGCAGTGCACATTTGCCTAAGCAAATGAAGTTCATCATAAAAACATTTGAAGGCTGAGCTAGAAAAATATAGCAGAAAACAACAACAATTAACCCTCAGAATTAAGCCCCAGCACTAATGGGATTTAAACATTTGTGACTTTGCAGGACAAAGCCTGGGAACACGATGGAGTTCAGTGGTCTTCAAACACAGTACTGCCCCAAACACAAAACCCATACAGATATTCTGTTACACTCTAATCACTTTGGTTAATTAAAAGCACAAAATTAATCACTCAGGAGGAGATGACCAACAAGATTTCCCAGCTTTTCCCCCCAACTAAGACATGGCAAAACCACGACACTCAAGTGCACCTAGAAGGTAACTGAAAAACCTTCCATGGTATCTGCAACATGGCAGCAAAGCCACTACACCCATCAGAGGATTTATGCATCTAGAAAGAGCCACTAGGTCAGAAAAAATGACAAGATCCAAAAAATCCACACATGGTGTCACTAAGGTACATGTTCTTCAACAGACTAGGGAAGTAATTGTATTGTTTTCCTCAAACCATATGAAGCCTTAACCAGCCAGCAGCTCAGCCAGCTGCTCTTCTTGTGGCAACCAGCCACAAATGACAAAAGCTGGGAACCTACAGGCAAATCTTAATTTTTTCCTAGAGAACAGGGCACATGCTGAATTTCAATGCATACACACTCGTTCATTTTGAGAGCTACACGAGAAACTCCAAATGTGAAACAGTAGGGACAGTAGGCAGAAATTTAAAGGCAATCTATGGCCACATCAGTCCTTCAAAAGGGCACCTTCATGAGCAGCTACAGCCCAGTCTCAGACATGGATACCCAAGTTGCATCTGGCTGGTTTAGGCTATGAAAAGAATAGATTAAACCAGTAGACTTTTAACTTACTCCACTGCAGTGACAAGGTTACCACTGCAGTCATGTCTGTGGACTGTGTAGCTGGCCTGTGTGCTGCCACATCCCTCAGGGGTTTGGTGGGAACCTTCTCAGTGCTGCAAACAGCAGAGCACACGTATTGTGTGGATGTATGTATATGCAGGGCACAGGAAAGGACTTTTCACACACAACAGCAGACACTTTTCTCACCCCATCCACTCAAATGTGGCCTTAGACCTTCCTCTTCACGGCAGGGTGGGAAGCCAAGCTTCCCAGCAGGCAATGACTACACAACATTTCAAATTGAGCTTGCATCTTGTCTGGAACAACATCCCAAAGTAAATCTGGGGAGTGAGATCAAGGCACCAAACCTACACCAAACAGGACAGCCCTTACTATGCAACACAAAAAGAGCTGGATAGCAAAAAAGACTCTCCCAGGCTGACTGAGGTAAACACAAGGAAAAGGCTTGTCAGAATGGAAACAATATGCTACATTTCACACTGTATTTTTTAATCTTTTGTCTCACAAAGTCCTTATAATCTCAATTTTCAAGAAGAGGCCTGAATGCTACACAGCTCCATG